GGGCTCATCCTCAGCAGGGATTCTTTGGGACACCTTCCTCCCCCCAGGCAGCAGCAGCCCCAGGCAGTGCCTGGGCAGCACCGAGCCGCGTTTGGGCCCCGGTGCAGGGTACAGAAGGAGGGCGGCAGCACAGGTGTCCCCTGGGCTGGATCTGTGCCGTGGCTGACACTTGGCCCCTGCTCCAGGGATGAGGTAGTCTGCAGAGAACTGCGCTCATCCTTCCGGAGAGAGCCGCAAAGGGCGGGCAGGTGCGGCAGAGGGGTCGCACCAGCTCTGCAGCCTGCGGCCGATTGCTGCCGAGACAGAGAGGAGCTGTTCGGCCACTCACGGTATGGAAACCTCCCTTGGAAACATGAGCCCACCAAGTAATTCCTCTTCCTACACGCCCACAGAGGGACGGCCCATATTGCCAGGAAGGGGGGAGAAGCCCAAGGCTCTTGGGGTCGGAAGATGACACTCTTTGCCCCACGGACATGTTTTTAGGTTTTCAGGCTTCTCTAGTGGTGATTTTTAGCAAGAGGGGCAAGAGCGGTGTGTGTGGGGCTCAACACAGCCCCGACAAGAAGCGGGAGCAGAGTGAGGAAGCAGTGGGATCTACAAGGCGTGTGGAAAGGCGGTGGAAGCACCTGTGTCATACCCTGCTCCCACCCATCCCCACTGCTCCCTAGGGTGCACGGCGGGCTGCTGCCACCCGTGCCAGGCAGGAGCAACCTCCAGTTTCTATAGGAACCAGATCAAGCCTTGAAATTGCCGGCCTTACTGACGTGCTGGTGGTGGTGGTGGTGGTGGTGAGCTCACAGCTGATCCTGCAGCTTTTATCGTCCTCATAGGGCAACACCACGTCCATCAGCCTGCTGCCACCGATCCAGGAGGTGGCGAGGTCCCCGCAGACACGCGTAGTCACAGCTCCAAGAGCAAGAGCCATGATAATGGGAAAAATATCATTGAAAGATAAAAATAGTTACTTAAGCTGCAGCCATCGATTGGTCGTGTGCCACCCCGGTGGGAACCCCCACCACGTGCACCGTCAGCAAAGCCCTGTGCCAGCACACAGCAGAGGTGCCAGCAGCTCCTGGAAGTAAATCCTGCTCGGGAGCCTGGCCAGGGACCCAGGCTGACAGGGACAGTGACAAGAGCAAGGCTCGAACCTCCAGAGTGTGGTTCGCATCACACAGGGATGGGTGCATGAAGAGAGGCGGGCATTCAGAGAGGCGAAGTTCACAGGCAGTAAATACCCTGATCTTTGATCCCCATAATAAGCCGGTGCAAGCCCAGAAGAAAGCCGGGAGCGGGGCGGGGAGGGGCAGCAGGAGAGGCACAAAGGAGGCACTGTGGCCGGCAGATGCGCTCCGGCCACTCGCCGCTGCACAGCCCCTCCATTCATCGCACGCTCCCACCGCCGCCGGGGACAGCGACATCTCCCCCCCCGGGGCCTGGCACGCCGGGGGCGCTGCCAGCGCTCGGCCCCGCCGCGGGTCTGACACGCTCCCCCCGGGCCCGAGCGCCCCGGACACGCCGTGCTGAGCACAGCTGCTCATCACCCTCTCGGAAAAACGCATTTTAAGCTGCTAAGAGCTTGCAGCGGGAGGCTGCCCAGCAGTGCCCTGACACAGCACCCGAGGGTCAACAGCGACAGCTGCCCCTGGACACGAGTGTCCCGGGGCAGGGTGGGGAGGGGAGCTCCGAGGGCTGGGGCCGTGCTCCAGACAATCCATGCTGCTCCCTACAGGAACTGTCCTGTCCCCAGGCGAGGGGCAGGGCACAAGGGCAAGTCGTATCTGCCCGAGATCTCCCAGCAGCAGCACAGCACCACGGGGTTCCAGACCAGACTGAGCCCCTCCAAGAGCTCGGGACATCTGGCAGCCGCTCCGGAGAGATGCGAGTCCCCCCGGGAGCAGCAGCCCTCGGCTGGAGCTCTGCAGCTGTGCTGCTCAGCTCCACGGAGCGGCTGCGGTGCCCTCTGCAGGCGCAGGGATGGGGGAGCAGAGCCTTCCCCGGCCCCTCGGCGATGAACCTGGGGCCGCCCGCGGGCACGGCCCAGCCCCGCAGCACACAGAGAGCCCGAAACGGGGAGCTGGGAGTCTGGACCAGCCTTTCCATTCTGCAGAACCCCCTGCCCCTGCCAGCAGCAGCTTCCCATGGCTTTGGGGAGGGCACCAGGAATACGCTGCACTTCATTTTCTTGGGTATAAACCCAAGACTTTCCTGAAATTGCACTAATAAAGGCGAATCCCACTGGAACCTGTACACACAGGAACTCTGGCAGACTACCTGCTCAAAGTTAAATGCATCTATCGATCTTCTTGCAAGATCACAGCTCAGAAGCGTGATTTAACAAAACCCTCCTTCACAATGCTGGGGAACCACATCAATGCAAAAATCAGGAGACATTGGAGCACAACATTTCTCTTACAGAACACAATTTATTTGGCATTTAGATGAAATGTTTCTCACAGCATCTTGAAAAAGGAAAAAAAAAAAAAAGAGATTAGTGCCAACCCCAAAGAAGTTAAAACAAAAACCAGTGTCACAGGGACTCAATTATTATAGTATCAAATTTAAATTCTACATGGTATTTCACAGAATATCAAAATCTTTTATACACTGCCACAGTTAAGTCCAGTCACAAACCAACTACACAGGAGAAGCCTGCAAGTGCAGCGCTGGCTAAAATTATTTTCCAGAGGAAGGTAAAAAGCAGTGTCTCATTCTCTCACAGCCTCCCAGGCGCCCTCAGCCCAGCACAGGGATGGTGCAGCACAGCCACCTCTGCTGCCATCAACCCTGACCCACTCAACACTCGAGGGGCACATACTAGAAAATTAAAGCTATGTGGTACCGTAGCAGGCAGGCAATGCTGACTCTTGTTAGGGGGAAGAGCATCTTCATCACTGAAAGCATCTATTCCAAGGAAACACCTATTTCACTTGGGACTGGGGAACATGAGAAACAAACATGAACTTCGATTCACCTCCTCTACACTCAACTACTCTAATTTTACAGTCCAGCTCACAGCTTGCAAGGGAAATTTAAAAATTTTTTGCTTATTACATGTTCCTTAGCTAGGGAGAAAAAAGACGTTTCAGCAACTGAAGAAAGGAGACGCACATTATGGATTGTACGAGGCAACATTAAAACATCAGTGTTTTGCCACTGAGAAGTCACATCTGAAAGATAAAACCATCTTTAAGTACCAGGTTCAAATTTATTTAACATGAGATGAGAAAGAATGGTAATAATTACTGGTCAGAAAAAACATTTTCTTCCCAAGTACTCAAACAGGCCAGCACTCCACAACACCTATGGAGGCAGAGCAGCCACCGACTCGAAGATTCAGCCTTCAGAAAAAAAATGTCCAGCTACTTCATTTTTCATCTAGATCAGTGTCCTGCTGTGCACAGCTACAGGAAGAGTCTGAAGCTCAAACTAAACAGGACTGAACATGACAGAGACAAGCTCCTTGCACATGTGAATGATGGTGCTGATCCTGCACAACAGAACCCACCGCCCCTGTAACACTTCAAACTCACCCAGTACAGAGCCAGAGGCTGCTGAGAGACTGTGGATGGGGATCACTGACAAACCAGAGTGTCTGGGGCTGCTCTCAGGGAACAGCAGAGACCTCGATATGGCACCACAGTACAGGGAAGCTGAGGAGCAGCTTTGTCCGAGGCCACAGTGGGACAAGACCAGCCCGGCACGGAACCAAGCGCTGGGACTTTGCAATGACTGCGGTCAAGGGCATCCCAAGAAAAATACAGCCTGGGCTGCTGGAAACCATGTGGCAATGCCATCTCCCTGCTGGGGCTGCAGGGATGTTTAGAATGTACCAGTTGTTAAGAAAAACATCCAGAAATGTGAATGGCAGTGAGGAAAAAAATCAATGCAGAAAGTAACTCCAAAGATCTCATCAATCTAATGGCAATCAAACCAGAGAGGTTTTCCTTGGGCAAGCACCAACCCTCTGTCACCGGCCCTTGGGACAAACTGCCCACCAGTCACCTGGCCAAGGGCAAGGAAGGTTTGCTGAGGACTCTACTGTTGTCAAGAAAACCTAACTCTTCCCCAGTTGGTCCAGCAGTCTGAGTACCTGGGACATTTTCTGCTACAAAGGCTCTTACTTCAAGAGGAAGTACTCAATGTGAAAAAGCTACATTAAAAAGGG